TGTTTAAAACATCAGGTTGCACTGTTTCGCTTTTAATTAGGTTAAAAGGGAAGTTGATCGATTCTTACAGTCTGTGTTAACAGTCTGAACACATGGACTGACAAAAGATGTAGTATTACTGAATGTGTCAGTGTCAGTGCACGTAAACCTGGAAAATGTGTTATGTTTCTCTATGAATAACATAAAGATGCACATGAACAGAAGTAGATCTGCATCTTCTACTGTTTTTCAAATGAAGAGTCAGGAGGAGAGTGATGATGATATTATCCTGAAGGAGAACAGAACTTTCAGTGCTTTAAAATAGAAACTGTTAGTAATAATAATAAAAAATACAATATTTTATTAATTTAATTTTCAGTGTTTTAGAAAGACAAATATTTTATTGTGATGTTTTGTAATGACTTTCATTTGAAATACTATCTACATATCCCATATTATTTTTTTCTCTCTACTCCATCCATCTGCTCTTCTGCCCTTCAGTCAAATTTTAGAACCTATGTGGCCCCCGAGCCAAAAGGTTTGCCCACCCCTGTTCTAATCAGATCCTCGCCGGGCGGCCGCTTAGCAACCGTGGAAAAGAGGGTAGCTCAAAATAGTGGAATAGAAAAAATCCAGGATCATGTAGAGCGGGTCCATACCAACATTTTAAGACCAAAACGACGAGTCTGACAGCAGCATTTGCAGTGAACGGGGCCACGTTTTTTTTCAATAGAAAGTGAATTGGAGCCAGAGACAAAAGGTCAGTTTTTGTGGGGTCTGAGGCTAAACCCCGAGAGAGTCCGGGCGTTTCTGAGGAGGTTTGTGTCCAGGAGTGGCCTGGGCCAACGGAGACACCTGGAGGGAGTTGAGACGCTTCAGTCTGACCAACCTGAGGGACTTCGGGATGGGCCGGAGAGTCTGCGAGGACAAGATCCGAGAAGAAGCCCAGTGTCTCAGCCAGGTCTTCAACGAGTACAGAGGTGAGACTGAACCAGGACTGAACCAGGACTGAACCAGGACTAAACAGGACTAACCTAGGTCTAAAGAGAACAAAATTATTATTATTAAACCAAGACTAACCTGGGACTAAGCCGGGACTAACCTTGGTCTAAATCAGGACTAAACCTTTCAGATTCACATTTTCAGATCTAAATCCTGTTTGTGTATTTGTGTTTTTGTTTATACCCCACAGAAGTTGAATATTTCCTCTTTACGCGTTGATTTCAGGAGAAGCGTTTGACTTGACGGAGTCGGTGAACTGCGCCGTGTCAAACATCATCTGCTCCCTGGTCTACGGCAGCCGCTTCGAATACGACGACCCCGACTTCATCACTCTGGTCCAAAACGCCAACAGGAACATGCAGCTGCTGGGCTCCCCGTCCATTCAGGTCAGACACACCCCCGTCGAGTCAGGTCATACACACACCCGTCCATTCAGGTCAGATACACACTGACCATGTTTAAAGACGGGATATTTTACTTCTATGGGGAATTAACTGACTTCTATTGTTTTGAAATCCCGTTAATGAAACTCCCGCACGTCACATCGGGTTTGTTAAGTTGCTGTTTACCGTTTACGGTTTTAGGAGCAAATATCCAAGTGTCCTGAGTCGCACTGAAAAAATCGGATCTGTGTCGTTCAGACTGACATTAAAAGATCAGAAACAGGAGCATAGGGGCCAAAAAAAATCAGATTTGGGTCACTTCAGGATAAAGTCTGAAGTAGACTTGGATATGTGCTCCAAAAACCGACACATATCCGCTCTTTGGACATGCGACTTCAGTCTGAGCGGTCAGGTCACATTCATCCCACCTACACGTCAGTCTAGTCTAGTCAGTGGAGGGAGAGCGTTTAGGTTAGAGGTTAGTGAGTTTATTCATATTTGTAGGGATCACTGTATTCAGGACAAATTGGAGGGGTCTTATCGGAACCGGGCGGTTTCTGAAATGACGGCCAAAGAAATGTTCGAGCGCAGCTACAGACGGTCCAGGCTCCAACGTCAACGAAAAATAAAGAGTCTGAGTCAAATACAAGGAGGATAAAGACTCAAGCCTCGTTTGGCGTTTTGGACATTAGTATTTTTTAAAACAGAGACAATTCCCTTCATTTGTACTCATCTTTTAAACGCAAACTGCGATTTTGACGTTAAAAACGAATCTTTCTAAAAACTCCATCTAGAGTGGAGATTCTGGAAAACTCTGGTTTGGCGTTTGCGTATAAAGTGATGAAGTGAGTTTCTGACGCGCCAAAAGTGCGACCAGTGTTTCCCTTTTGCGATGGCGATGATGATGATGATGATGAATCAGAGGAGCAGTCGTGTTTCTTCTGGTGAAACACTTTTCATGTGTTTCATTTTCACACACAGCTGATGTTTCAGATCCACGACCAGAGACAAATGAGGCTCAAAGGTCAGCAATTTTACCAGTTCTTTAACAGATCTGTGGAGAGGCAAGCCACTCACTAATGCATGTTTTTCAAGGTATTTTTGAGTAAAACTTGCAACTGTAATGAAAGAAATGCTACAGGTTTGAATCTAATCCAGCTCCCCCCAGAGGTTTAGCGTAGTTATGACGGCGCTCGATGGAATATTTATGCAGGTCGACTTTTGAAAACGATGCTGTGTGCTCGATGTTATTTTGGAAAACAGAGGGAGGGAAGTATTTGTTTGCATGTGTAAACGTAGCCTAAGGTTGCCGACCCCTGGTGGTATACAGGAACGCTCAAACAAATGAAGCGGCCGTGGACGTGTAACCTGTCCATTTACCAAGGACGGGACTGTATTTTGGGAGACAAGCCCAGAGTTTAAGCGACTTCCGTAAACTCTGAGCAGGCTCGCTGTGTGTGACGTCGTCGTGTTCTCCGATGCACATGCGGGATGCTTTTGGGGCGTTTAAAGTTCACACTGGAGATCACAAACAAGTCACACTGAACTGGAAACGTGAACAACCTCACAAAAAAAACAAAAAAAAAACGGATTTCACAAAAAAATACAAATTGAGCATTAAGCCCTGCAGTCTTGAACTTGATGATCTTTTGACATGATTATTTCGCTATTTTGGAATATATCTGAATGGCTCTCTTAACTCTCTGCTTAACTGTCATCTAAGACTAAGCCACTAAAATGAGTAGCTTTTGGCTTAGCTGTTGGAGCCCTTTAGATTGACTAAATGTGTTTTGTGCAGATCTATAACCTGTTCCCGTGGCTCGGGGCGCCTGGTGCCGAACAGGAATGAAGTTATAAAAAACAAGAAGAAAGCTGAAGAACAGAATCGAAGGTTTTTTCAGAAACTGAGAGAGACTCTGAACCCACAGATGTGCAGAGGCAGCCTTCATGCTGACTCAGAAAAGTCAGTCCCCACAGTTAATGGCACTAAAAGGACGGACCTTCATGTTCATCTGACAGTTACTCTGTTGAAAAGCTCCTGAAAATCCGTCAGTCCCAACAGTCCCCAAACGTTAATGTTTTTAAATTTTCTCAGCAAAATGACTCCAGCTTTGAAAACGAAAAGTCTGGATCATGTGTCTTTCTGTCCATGGCGGACATGTTTGCTTTCATCTGAGCATTGCGGTCTCATCTCGACAGAGCTGGTTCAGTGTTTAGAGTCACGGAGTTTACAGTTTAGTGTTCGTTCTGTTTTGAAATGATGTTTACTTATTTTTGGTTTTATTTGAAATGAAGCTCCTGCAGCCTAAATCAACAGTGACGTTTAACATTGCCCCATTGAAATAAGCTACTTTACAGTTTTCTGTTTACAGTTGTATAGATCCAATAAAGCTAAACCCTGACCTCCCCAGTTTTACAACATATTTATTTGGATTAAAGACATGGGTTTGATGCTGTTTGCACACGGTGATCAAACTTTATACCTTAGTTATGTCAAATTTAAACTCATTTCTATGAATCTGCGTAGGTAGTTTATTTGGACAGTTGTACTCTGCTCAAATATGCTCCGACTAAAGACAGAACAATTAATCCATCGAATAATGTCCCACTGTAGAATCAACATTATTCACTCATTTATGAACTTGGGAAGAGGTAGGTCATTTCCATTATCCAGGCTGGCGCCACCTAGTGCCTCCGCTCAATTTCATTTCTCTCCAGCGATTAGGTCAGGAATCAAAATACACTAGACGGTTTTCAAAAAACCCAGAAGTTGTAGACTGCGCACCAGCCAGTCAGCTGTGAGCTGTGAAGTCATGACGTCAAACTCGTGGCGTCTGTCTGAGTCTCTTTTGTGGAACAGCACAACAGTAAAAAAGCGTTGAGATGGATGTAGACGAAGACAGACATTCTGTTTTGGCAAAAGTAACTCTTGGTCTGAAAAAAGATCGTAATAACAAATTATCAGAAGACCAAA